TTTTTTTGCTCTCCAATCTACAAAAAGAAATACAATGTAAATCAACATGAATCTCTCAAGTTTAAGAAACTAGCAGCTAATGGTACAGATGTGATTTGCTGAGTCCCAGAACCATAGCAGACTTGAAGTTGGTGTTAGAGAATAAATACTATAAATATATTATGAATGCCTTATTGTACCTAGAGTATAATAAGTCTAGTCCTTTTTTGGCAACTTAAAATATTGACAAAACTGTGATGTAATATTTGTTGCAATTCTTCCCAACTTCTCAGCCAGGCACTCTTAAAAAGAAAACATTTTATACACAATGGCAATTTAAAAACAAACCCAATAATGAATAAAACACATTTAAAAATCACTCAACATTTTCAAATATTATTCTTTCTTATTTCTTAAACACCGACTACTTCCTGATAAAAAGTGCTGTAGAAAATGGAAATAAGTATCATGCTGATGATAGGCGTTTTAACCCTCATATATACCTCTGTGACACTGTTTCTGACTTTGCCAGTTTAGCTTACTATGTTAATACTCACCACCCTAAACCCCAATTAAAGACCACCGGCGCCAGTTCAAGTCTCTCCTGATTGACTTTGTTGTTGAGGTCTTGAAAGCGTTTCTTTTAGAAAATTCAATAGTATAAGCAGCGATAACCTCTAGAAGAAATCCTGACCTCTTGTTCGCTCTTTCTCTTTGTGCTCTGTTTGTGTCAGCTCTCAGCAGAGAACCAGTGTCAGGTGACTTAGTAGGCAGGGCCGAGCAAAATGAAACTGCAAATCTATGTCGTCAAAATCACAGAGACTCGTGAGATAATTACCAACTAATAAATATATCTATATTTGTACAGTCAGTGGGAGACTAGTCCATGGTTCTTCTCACAGTTTCAGTCTGGTAAAGAATTAATTCTCTCTGTGAGCCTGCCTGCTGCACTGGAGGACCTGTGTCTATCAGTCCCGACACAAAGCCCTGCCCCAGCTTTCCACTCTGCACTCAGCAGGTTCCTCATTTCACATACTGATGTAATCACAGCAATTTTAGTAAAGTTCTTTCACTTTCGTTACATAAAAGAAAGAGGAATTTGCTGATCTTGGCAGAAGTACATCATAAAAAATGTGGATATATCAATTAAGATACATTTTATGTTGTTGGTCGTAAAGATCTGAATTAAATTTTAATATTTTTTAAATTCTATTTTTCAGGTTTTCTTTTTCAAGACTTTTGTGAGAGAGTTACTCCATAACACCATGTGTCACTTAGGAATGTGAGTTTGATTGAAGGCTTAGACCTCAGGTCTTTCCACCTGTCATGTGACCGGGATTTTTCCACTGACGGGAATGCGATTTCTGCCAGGCAGGTACGTCAGAGCAAGGTATACCTGAGGGGTTGTAGCAGGAAGTTCTGTTTGATACAGCAAATCAGTGTTGCATCCGAATCTCCAGTCAAAGCAGCAGTTTTGGTCAAGTTACTTGAAAAAAGTAATCAGTAACTAATTACTGATTACTTCCCCAAAAAGTAATCCTGTTACTTTACTGATTACTTATTTTCAAAAGTAATTAATTACTGTGAGATCAGTATTTTAAACTAGGTTATCTTATACCCATAGTCAAGGTAGATGAAGTA